AAGACCCTTAAAAAGCAGTAGTTAGCTGCCTCACTTCTTGTGTTTATACAAGACTTATGTTCACAAAATTCAGTGGCCTAGGGACAATAAGCACAGGTACAGTAAGTGGCGCTGGTGGTCACATAGCATTGCTGGTAGATAGTGGTGCTGGTGGTTGTATAGTGGTGCTGATGGTTGTATAGTGGTGCTGATGGTTGTATAGCGGTGCTGATGGTTGCATAGCAGTGCTGGTAGTGGCATAGCGGTGCTGGTGGTTGCATACTAGCAAGACCTGTCAGACAAGGTGGGTTGGCAGTTGGCTTATATCGAAATATAATACCACTAGGCTAAAAAGGTGTCCGGACATTAGTCCTATCAGTCCAGGGTCTTATACTTTTCAACAGCTTATCCACTTTCAGCCTCAATGTGACCCACCCCAAGGTCGAACTTTAACGCACCTATGATCACCCAGACCTGATCTAGTCTTTCCACACTCTATACTTTGGTTACTTACTCCACATACCGCTACGCCCGCGTTACCGTCTGGCAAGGGCAGAACCTGAGATATCTGACAGTTTGATCCTTTGCGAGTAGATCTGAGCACTACCATCTTTTTGAAAGTTAATAATATTCCTCATGGACTCAGAGTCAAGGCTATTAATTAAGATGCTCCCATCTGTATATGCTAGTATGAGGACTGAAAATACCAGAGTCTGCATCTGCCCCATTTCTTCCTGCAACTGATAATATACAGGTAAACATTCATTCGATTGCCTCTGAGAGCATTTATAAAGCTTCAGTTTGAAATGCAATAATCACAAATTTTATTTATGCTTTATATATCCCTTCACAAGGGTAAGTAATTTGGAATGTGTGACCTGTGGCAAATAATTTAGGCAGATTTCCACTTTAAAGAGATATGAAGAGATGCGTGAGTTTCTCAGATAGTCTCCTGAATCTATCTAATCTAGTTTTAAACACCCTAGATCACTCAGGAAAGCTGCCTTATCCTATTTGCAATCAGGAATTCACCCAACAAAAATACATAAAGCAACATTTTGCATAATGCCACAAGACAAGCAGCTAGTCTCCAGTGAGGAATAATCCCCAAGCTAGTCTGGTCATGGAAATAGACTTCAATCCCAAATGGATATTAAACCCAGTGGGACAGAGTGTTCTCTTCGACAGCCCAAAGACCATGACACTTCAAAAGCACAGCTATCCAGAAACTGCATGCAGAAATGGCCCAGATTATAACCAGAGATTGATTGACTCTGACAGAGGTGTCCTAGAATTCTCTGCTGTTCAAGCTATGGTGTGGTCTAGTACCACCTTCACTGAGGACCTAAATTAATACAACCTTGAGGCTCTACAGAATGTTGATGATGTCAGTGGAATAGAAGGAGTGCCCACTCTAACCAGTAATATAAATCTCTCCCAATACAAGCAAGCAGACATTTCAACAGACCAGTGCTTAGAGTCTTCCCAGGAAGCAAACGCGCAACAGTATCAGATGGGCTTGCCAGGGTCATTTCCTCATTACCAGACAACACAGATGCAGCCTAGCATTATTAAGGAATTAGATCAGCATCAGTCAATCATCTACCCAGAAGCATGGTTGAACCCAGTTTACATCATTAGCATGCCACAGGTTATTCAATCAGTGCCAGCAAGCGCTGCAGGATAGCTATTAGTGCTATTAGAGGCCAACCAAAAGTAGCTGCAAGTACATTAATAAAAGCGCCATGTGATTTAAATTTATTGTCAGTAACTATCATACTGGATGATATCTGCCTAATCAACACTGATTAGCTGGAATCTATTCAGGCAATAGTGGGGTAGGTATAGTGGCTAATCTGATATAATACTTGTCATCTTCATGGCTATAACCCCGCTAATAATCTGTGATATCCATCATGAAGGTGACTTTATTTAAACCCAGTCAACTCTCAGTAATTTAATTTAAGAGTAGCACATTAGTTATCTTTACTAATGATATTATGCTTAGGGATGGACCACTCCTTCAAGCCATCCTATGTGAATGAAACCAGGCACTCTTAAACATCCCAGACCTTCCATCCGTGCCTTATCTTCTTAGTGAAGGCTTAGTCTGTTTTATAACCATACACTAGTAGGCAAAGGAGCTAACAGCAGTCTATTAGAACTTCCAGCACCTAATAGGATGAAACTATCCCAGCCCATTTGAAATCCTTTCAGGCTTGCAAGTCTATAAGTTTAAGAAGAATTTGTCTATTAAATGGATCCCAAGGGCCAAAATAGACTTATTGCCCATGTGATGCTAGATGACATATATGTGACACCCCCTGGTGGTGAGAGGGTGTTGATTGATTGATTGATTCCTTACTCCGTTTCGGTGCCGGGCTGGGCCATGCCGGAGGCTCCTAGTGAGCAGCGACTATCTAACCAATGGCCGTCTTTGCAGACTGACGCCATCGGCATACATATATATATATATTTCTCAGGCACCTAGGCTAGGCCGAACCCTCATATCTGCCCCCGTTTTGGCCCCGGCCGAAATTGCTGAGTGCCTCATATATCCATCCATTTTGGCCGGGGCCGAAATCAGTGAGTGCCAGCAACCTTGCTGCCCCGTAGAAGCCCTCCTGCCTAGGTGCCCGTACACGCCCAATCTGCCTAGATAGCCGCCTACCCGTTCGGATGTCGCAGATTCCCAGGCCTGCGAGGGTTTCGGGGGCGTCACCACCAAAGCGGTGCCGATTGGGCGGGCCGATCCCGCGGGGTGCGCGGGTCGGGGCCGCGGGCAGTGGCGCCATACCGGTGGGAGTGACTAGTAGTATGCGATAGTATGTGATAATGGTTTGTCAGCCATTGCCTGCTGGGGCTGTCTGCAGCTGCGCGCTGCTGGGGGCGCTCGGCCCAAGCCATGCTGGTTTGGTGGCCTCCGCCAGATACATCAGCCGGCCGGTGTTCAATATGAACCTTGCAGCCCGCCGCACGTTCTGCTTCTCTGTCAAGGCTTCCACAAGGCCTCAGGGGGTCCCTTCCAGCCACGTCATGCATTGAAGGTTATCATATTAGGTGCAGCTGAAGAGCATGTGGTGAATCGTCTCCGGGGCCCTTCCGCATGGGTAAAGGGGGTCATTGGCTCAGTTAATAGTAGTAAGATAGTGATTCAGCCTGATCTTCCCAGTGCGCAACTAAGCTAAAATGCTGCGCTCCACAGGGGTGAGGTTGTCATAGATCGTGATTGAATGCCTGGTGACCTCAGGGAGGAAGCACTGGAGGTGTCCACCATGCTTAGACTACTGCCAGGCCTCCTCCCATTGTTCCTTGGTGTGCTGCTTGATCTAGGCATCCAGGGGCCCATGTGTGGGGTGGTCTAGGAGCATGACCGGCGGCAAGGGCCCGCACTGCCTGTCAGTGAGGCCCTGTCGCCATCTAGCTGCCTCCTTTGCTTTCTAGTCTGCAAGCTTGTTACCAGCAACTCCTTGGTGCGCTGCCAGCCAGTGAAATAAGATATTAAGTACTGGGTCAAGCCAGTTGAGCAGGGCCACCAGCTCCCAAACCAGATACTGGCCGGAGCCTTGCTTTAGGGTGAGCAGCGTGTGCAGCGCGCCTTGGTTGTTAGAATATATCTCAGCCTGAGTCCATTAGCTGCGGGGCATTGACGCTGCCCAGGCGTCACGTGGAACCAGGTCTCACTTAAGGAGCTGCAGGGCCAGCACCAGCCCCGCAACCTCCGCCACTGGCACCGTGTGTTCGAGATCCGTCCCCAGGTAATACTAGAGGCAGATGAGAGGGTCTAAGCATACTGCAGCAGTGCCCACCTACTAGTGGATGCCTGACCCGTCTGTGTAGACCTGGATAGCCTCTAGGTATGTGATACAGTAAATGTCATGGTGAATTACTGAAGAGAGTTGACAAGAAGATACAATGCTGACCAAGATGAAATATTATCATCAACTGGGACCAGATCTCTAGTGAGACAGTTACAGTGTATGCCAAGATTTAATGACAGAATGCCGTCTCCTCTAACTGCAGTGGTGTGGAGCCCTAAGTACAGGTATAAGCTGCTTAATAAGAGGCATACAAAGTCATGCAGTTGCAGGAATGCGACTTCCCATACAGATAAGAGTGTTGTGAGTTGAAGACTCTATTAACTAGACAATAAAGCTTCGTATACGGAGTACAGTATGGTAAAAAGATGAACCCAATCGAGTTCCATCGACCCTGGAGTTTATCCGTGAAATGATAACTGAGCGATGAACTTACTCACTTCCAGATTCCCAACGCGACTGACAGCCATCCAAGTATATTATTAGGCATGTCACCAAGATGGACCTGTTTGGAAGTGTAAAGGCACACCCAAATAAGGGCAGACGCCCCCGGAGACTCACACCATTATGGTTAAAGCCCTCTGCTATCATCTCCTCAAGAAGACCCGTTCATACCTTGACGAGATGGCGATATTCCTATAGGATGAGTTTCAGCATTTCTACAATTGATCAAAATCTCAAGAGAGTGAAGCTGCCGTGAAGCTACGTTAGCCTAGGCGGCCTGGTTCACAACCGGAAGGTTCAGGCCCATCACATGTATTGATTAGAACTAGAAAATAAGTTGTTCTTAAGCTATTACCTAGTCACATATTCTCAAATAATTGGTTAAACACATTCCAAGTTAAAGACCGCACTTCAAGGCTATCCAACTCTCTGTATCTTGGTCGTCCGCGCTATAGTTATGGCAGCCTTCATTCACCATGTACGCATCCTCCTTCCCATCATCGTTAAAGCTGCTGTTGTCATATGCTGTGCAGACAGCGCCGGTCCCCGTCAGCTGCCATGACAGGGGCTCAGTCAGCGTGCTCTGATCGCACAAGATGTACGTATCACTGCCGGCAGTGTACCACTTGCAGGAGGCGCCCGTGCTTTTGTCGGACGTGCCAAGATCGGCGATCACCAAGCACTGATCGCTTATCGAGTCCAGGTTCTGACCATCCACCACATAGTGGTCACCAGCACAATTTACCTCGCTGTAGATGCTCATAGTCCAAATGCGGTTGCGGTGGCCGCTGCCGCTGTGGTTGTGGTTGTGGTTGTGGGCGTCAGGCCGGCCCATGATGACCAACTGGACAGATAGTCCGAAGGGTAGTCTGTCTCAACAGGCCAGGTGGTCATAGTCGTCATCACGGCACTGGCAGCCTCATCACCATCCTCATCATCGGCAGCAGCGCAGACCCCCTGACTTAGACTCCACTCCAACTTGTTGTCGAGGGTGGTGTTCAAAACCCGTTCACCAGTGCCGTTATTATAGAGTGTGAAAAGGTCGTCGATCTCAAAAGGAATTGTCGCGCTTTTGGGGGCCGGTGGCGCCAGGGGGAGGTGCGGGTAGATGTTGCCAAGCGCGTTCTGGACGTATTTGGCGAAGGCATACAAGGTCAGACTGTCGGCGTTTTGAATGGTCCATTTGCCTGTGGCCCATCCCAAGCGCGCCAGTGCTTTGCACATCCGCGGCCCGTAGGCAGTGTAGTACCTCATGACGCCCTTGTTCCCTTCCTCGTATCCCACCTTGATGTCAGAGACATGGTGAATATTTCCACTGCTTGAGGCCATCGACACCCAGTCGATGTGTAGCAGTTCATGAATCCACACCAGGGCCTGATTATTGTAGTAGTTATTCAGGTCGGCGTATTCCCCGGGAGTGTGCGTGGTGTCTGCCCAGTACATTGCGTCCTTTAGCGTTTGCAACGAGAAGTACTGCGGGCAAAAATTTATGGCTGCGACCTGGTGTTTGGGGTCCTTCTGCACCGTGTAGGCAATGGTGTTGACGTCTCTCCCGCATGAGCATTGTAACCCCGGGTCATCGCACCGGACCGCAATCTTCCAGGCGAACCAGTCGAACGGGTCGAGAATCTTCCAGCCGGGCTGGATGGTGGCAAGGTTCAGATATATAGCCTTGTAGTTGCTCCACTGGTCCTGATTCATCGATGGTGGCCCCAGGTACTCGACAGCAGCGGCCTCGTTGAAGTCGATGCCAGCCTTGGCCACCTTATATATGTAATTCATGATCTTCCAGGACTCCACCCATCCCGATCTGATCTGCTTTTTCTGGAGAGTGGTGCACCCGTCCTCGCCAGTCAGCGCCGTCCCTAGGATGGTAAGGTTAAAGTCGGCGAAGTCGGAAATATTATAACCACTCGTGGCAATCGCCTCCGTAATCTCCTGCTCCGCCTCCGTAATCCTCTGCTCCGCCTCCGATATGCAGGTTCCAGGTGGACAGTAGCCTCTGCTGCAAGTGAAGTCACAGAGGTTGTCAAACTTCTTAGGCTGGCCGGGAGCTGCCATACCAGCACTCTCGCTCTGGGCCGGTGGTTGCACAAGAGGGCCTGTTTTGGTGCAGGTACAAAGATTGATGGGACAGTAGCCGAAGCTACATGCATACGAACACAATCCGAGGACTGCGCCGTCTCCAGTGCCAGCAACGCAGGCTGGCGGCAGGAAGTCCGAGACTGTTGGCACCGGCATGGGATGGTGTCACACGTCCCGGATGGACAATAGCCGTAGTTGCAGGCAAAGCTGCATAGGCCCTTGTAGTTGGCATCTTTTCCTTCTGCTGGGTAGCCTGTCGTTCCTGTCGCGTTAGGCTTAGTAAGGGCAACACCCATCTGCTCGCAGGTGCATGCGCCGACAGGGCAATACCCGTAGGAGCAAGTAAAGGTGCAAAGAGGATTGAAGTCGTAGGCGCCCTTCCCTTTAACACACACCTGGTCTTTCAAGTCGACTGAAGTAGAGGACGGACCATACCACCCCCCTCGAACACTTCCTACCCACGCATTGAAGTTGTTGAAGCCCCCATCACATGATGTGGTGATGTCGATGGTTTTGAGGAAACTCGTCGATGAATCACGAACAAACAAATCGACGGTAACCATGCCAGGTGGTGCAGCGACGCTACCGAACCAGATACCAGCATCAATATCACCGTCCCCTTTAACGTCGGTCTGCGGCATAGAGTCCCACTCCACAGCATGACCATTGACATACACCGCAGCGTTGCCGTCGCTGAATAATGCCATAACCCAGATCCGGGCTTCCAATTTATCCTTTGGGTCGAATTCAATCTGCAACTGAGAGGCGGTATTGAGTGTTGTCCCCCCAGCACTGCAATAGTCTAGCGGATTAGGGCTATACCAGAAGGTAGCTATATCATTGTCCATCGAGGCACTTCCAGTTTTGTACAAATCAATCAAGAAAGGAAGCATATCGCGCCAGGCGTCATGGGGATAACCTGACACGTAGTTGTACGGAGCTTTACCAATATCAAGGGCAGCCAAGGCGTTCTCGCGAATGGGACCAATATAATGGGATTCACCGTAATCATTCCAAGAAATGATTTCAACGAATTCTGGCATTGGGTCAAGACCGAAAAGCTCTTGCCATCGGTCGAACCAGAGGCTACCACCATTCCAAAGCCAGTTCTTGTTGTATCCTGGCAGATTGGTGTAAAACCAAGGAGAGATAGCCATCATATATGGCTTCCCGTCCAGATATTGTATATATGAGGCATCGGTGTAGGTATCCATACCCTGATTTCCCCATGGCCACGCAGACCAGCTGAACAATCCATCAGCAACGCCATTTGCCAATCCCACCGCTGGCTTGGCGCCGACAGAAGACCAGTCCGGCATAAAGAAGCAATTTGTCTTTGCTTTGATCGTGACCCAGTCAGCTGCATTACCAGGTCCTTCGAAAGTAGACACGAATGGCTTTCCGTCGTACTGGAAGTATGCAGAGTTGGAACCGTATTTTTAGATCATACTGATGACAACATCTTGGTCCCATGGTCCATTGCCAGCATAGTCAAATGAGAAGAATAGCTTGAATCCCTTCGCATTGGCAGCAGTGAAGGCCATTTCCACGGAAGCGTCATTGGTCTTGTCTTCCCATGCCATGTTGAGGGCGAACGCATCGATATGGGCATCCTGGGCCAATCCAATGTCGGACTGCCAGTCAGAAGCAGTGTAATTCTCTGAGTTTGTGACCTTAAATAGTATTATTGTCCTTCTCGCTCATTTCAACAGGAAAGTTTCAGAATGGACGGAGGTACCATGAAATGTGCAAACACAGCTTTCGCATTTGCCTGGTGGATGACCTGAAAGGCCATCACCATGGCAAGCACTGCAAATCGGTTCATTGTCGCGAACGTGAGCGAGGGGAAAGGTGTGGAAACAGACAACTACGAGACAAGTGCTCTTTTATATCTCTTTCCTAAAGGCCCAGTCGCCTCCATGGCCGAGCGTGTATCGACTGTTAGGGCTTGTTTCTAGCTCCACCTCAACCACGAGCAAGTGGGATTCTCAGCTACACCATGGTGTTCTTCCGTAAAGGGTCACATCTCCGCCAACATTCCGACGCTAGGTAGATAGAAAGAAATTGCAGCCTTTGAGGTAGCATTTGTGGCGGTCTCGAAAGGGGACTAAATGACCAGTCTAGCGTTGAGCAGTTTCGGAGAGCCCTAAGGCAGTATACGACAAACCCAAGTACTTCATCTTGTTCTTCATTGCAGGTGCCAAAATAGTCGCTTTGTCTGGCTTCGTATGAGTCTGCAACAAATGGCATAACAGCACATATATACATAGTTAGATTTCCCGTTCGGATGCTTTTGCAAACGCCTGATATCTCAACAGCTCAGTGAGCATTGGAGGGGTAAACTATAAGCGACATTGTGATACTTCTCAAGACTAAATGATACTACCTTACTTAGTTGCCCCCGGTGGTTTTGTAGTACGGTGGTACTTTGCAGGGAACGAATAGTATTCATTCTGCCGCTATCTAGTAATTATCTGTTATTTTGTATGACCTCCTTCTGCATTGATTACTGGCTGACACGGTAGTACTTAGCCTACATGCATAGGTTTGCTTAGAGAATCGTCGATTTAGCTAGCTGTTTGGGTTGGCGGGTGATTGGTTGGCTAAATCCCACGGTCCTCGGATAAAAGTTACAGTCTTGCACCACCTATGCTAGTCAAGTCAAGGAAGATCCAGATAGGGGCAGTCCTTGGGGTCAGCGTAGAAGACGCCTCCCAGCTTTTCGATCCATCTGCAACGTTCCTCCATATCATGCGCATTGTGGATCCGCGCTGCCCCTATATCTCCTGCGTTATCCAATGTCGTGTGTAAAACCCATACACCACCTCCGGCCGGCCAGCCCACTCGGAGATAGACATCCGTAGGCTTTGGGTACCTTAGTTCATGCTCCAAAACTTCATCGGATGCTCTTCGCCACCAGGTAGCGCCGAGGCGACGCACTTTTAGACATTAGACATGCACAACAAAAATAAAAAAAAGGAAAGTCAGGGGAAAGGAGAATGGTAACTGACTCCGGTTGCAGTGTGCGTCCTCTTTCGCTTGCCAGTCGGGATCTAACTTAGATGGGCGTTCGGTGTTATTGAACCGGTCGAGTCCAAGAAAGTCCAGTTCTACACCGAAACAGTTATCCAGGACATAGACACCACCCTTGGAGGGGTACCCGAACACCTTCACCCCAGGGCCGGAGCCGTAGCCTACCCAGACACGACCTTCGGGCTCATGTTGCACACAATCGATCCTCTCCATTTCTGGTTGTTGCTCTTGTGCTTGTGTTTGAGTTCGTGCTTGTATTGTTGTTTGGAGTTGATGGGGGAGAAGCTGCCAACATGCGAGGACTATAACTGAAGTAACCAGACAGGGAAATAGGATCTTTGCAACGGTCCGCATTATTGTGATTATTTTCAATATCATTATTATTAATTGAAATGGAAGAGGGGATGTCAGGTTCTTGACTTAAAGCTTGCCGGAGTAAGCACCAGGGGCTAGTAATATGGTTGGTCTGTGCACATTCGCCAAGTTTCAGAGTAATACTTATGGATAATACCACTAAGGTAGGCTAAACAAGTGTCCAGTAGCCCCGGCCGACATGCTCACCAGCCTAGGGTTACATCTCCATGATCATTGCGATTAAAATACTCAACACCACTTCAATAAGTGATTTTTTTCCTTTAACCATCCTCATCTTCTCATCTCAAAAAGTCTTGAATATTTATGCCCCTTAATCCAGAAGCAAGCTTAAGGATAAAGGCCTAGTGTCAGGAATGATTACTTCCGAAAGTGTTGTCTCCGAACTGAGAACTGTGGGGCCTTAGGCGCTAATCTGATAGAGCTCTAGCCCGTCGGGCATATGTACAATTTCTTAACCTCCCTCTAATATTAAATAGAGGTTCCAATTTCCTCTTTCAGGCTGACACGGTTAGCTCTAGAACCGTTGGTTTTGATTCAAGAGCGGCTAAATTATTTCTTCTGGTCGAGTTTTGAAACTGAGCGAATGCTCGCCAAGGTTTGTCACCTCAGGACAGTGATCAATACAATTGAATAGTGGTGTTGAGCACCTGCTCCGGTACTAAAGCGGCCGCTGGCTGGGTGAAATTACAGGTGCCCTTTATGGCCCGGTAGCGGTCATTTTGGCGTCGATTTCACAGGTTCTCAATTCTAGGTGTTATTACCTCGGCACATATTCTCAAATAATTGGTTACGCAGCCGCCCACACTGAGCTTGCCTCGAAGGGGCCACCAGCCCTTTTTGTTATCTAAAAGAAAGGATTCTAAGGAGAAAGGAAAAGTTCTCCCAGAAAGTGGGCGATAACTGAAGGAGTGGGACCAATGAGTCACTCACTATTTTGCGCTTTTGTTAAGGGGCATCAAGAACTTCCTTCCCAGCTCTAGCCCATGATTTGATAGATCCAATCGTTTCCCAACAGCGGTTAAACAGATTTCAAAATCGTCCAGCATTTAAGAGAAAAAGAAAAGGGCTAAAAGAGCATGGCGTTTCTTGAAGCCCCAGAATGCAATTCAGGCGGAATGCGGGGTCAGATAAACGTCGTTCGGCCAGCAACAGCAGCACATGTTTCAACTCGGGATTGCCTGAAGGTTCTGAATTCTCCAAATATTCCTTAGTAGCACGCGACCACTTACCGTGTACGGTAGGTGGTTCCACTTCGCATGTGCTCACGCCTTCTTGAACTTGTGGTGCATCCTGGGGTTAAGCCATGAATCCATGAGATGCAGCGGAGGTCGTAGTTTCTCGCCTGGGCCGGCCTCTCAGAGGGCCTCCATCAAGGACGTCACAATATTGCATTACCACATCCGCAGCTGCATCGTGACGATTCCATTCATCTTCCAGCGAGTTGGAGATCGGATAGGACAAAAGACATTGCAAAAGATTACCGTTCCCCTTCAGGACATTGCTTGGAAGATACAAATCCTGCGACAATCATTCGGGCACTTTCATGGCATAAGGACAGTCTCAAATTTCTTACATTCGACTTCCGTTCGAGAGATGAGGATGAGATCTTCGATCAAAGTTCCAAAACTTGAGTCCTTAGAGGAATTCCTGAGTCTTGAGACGTCAAATGTCAATCAGGACTGTTTGCCTTGGGTTGGTAAGACTTGGGTATATCTCTTCCACTACCCCTCGTTCTTTTCTTCCTTTCCTTTTGACCTCTCACTTTGCCGCTTCTTAACCTACTGGACTTGGTGTGGCAGGCTTGACGCATGCTGGAATAGACTGTCACAGCTATTTCTAAATGGCTAAGGAGTTGACGCGATAGGTCAGGTTTCTAGTACTGATAGAAGAAGAATTACGCAGATGCTTACTCCTCCTTAATCCTCTGCATCCAGTCCTCCTAGCTTTCCAGCACCTTCGCCACACAGTTTAAGCCTATTATTTTCTAAATTTCTTTAAAATAGTCCCTTCTAATTGAAAAAGGCCTACTGGTTAAGTTAGGAATATATTAACCTTCAAGTATAGAGAGCTTGAGACAGCAGGGATCTAGATTATCCAGCAGCATATGGTGGAAACCCTCCATGCAGGGACATAGATACAAGCTATAGAAAGGAATATTAATTCTATCAAGAGGGACTGTAGCACTACCCTACTTTAGTATAATATCCATGATGACTCAGTCTGTATAGGTGATTATATGTTTAGCCACCAGTGGTTAGAAATCCTCAGGCATTTCTGGAAGCCTTAGCAGGGGGTTAATGGAATTGTATACATGCTGTAAAGGTTCCAAATTTTAAAGATCACCAGCACACACATATTATTTATCTAAGATATTTAGGTTGATAATCTTGATGAAGAAGTCTGCTTGCCTCCAGATCTCATTAACCAATGTTTGTAGGTGAGTTTCATGGAATAGTAAGCCGTTCAATGGGCTGAAGTGTGCATTGGCTCCATCGGCGTGGTTATCGCCCTCATATTAGATCATTTTAGGGGCTGGTATCATAGGCAGGCGAGGAATAACTCTTGTACCATTTCATATTCAAGTAGATAATATTGAGATGTAAGATTAAACCTGGCATGCTACTCTTTACCCCCACTATGTAAAAGGTAAACAACCAGCGCAGCACTATCTTTAGGCTGCTTAACCCAATGCAGGGCTGCATTGTGGCGACCCTGGGACAGCTTCTGTAGCTCCTGTCCCACATAGACTACATACAGGCCATCAATGGGTTGGACTAACTCCCAGTCTCCTGTAGTAGGTTCTTTGCCTGAGGCGATAACTGACGGTGGGTGAAGATCTACGCCGAAAGAGCTGCATGGGATTTTGTCTGCAACCAAAGAACATCCTTCGACCTCGTCGTGCTCAACCCGCCACTTGTCTCTGGGCCTGCACCTCCCCCATCTAGCCAGCCTGGATGAACTGAATACCTCCAACCATCGTATCCGGGACATGCTCTTAGGGAAATTTCGGAGGGGATACCGCCCACCGGGCCCGTGTATATCTTCGCTGATGTGCGGGACGTGGCGGAGGCGCATGTGCGCGCCATCGAGGTTGTCGAGGACGGTGGGCGGCGGTTTTTCACGGTTGGCGGGTTCTTTTCGAATAAGCGGATTGCGGATGTTATAAGGGAGGTGTGTCCGGATGCTGAGGGGGGGTTGCCGAGGGATATGCCGGATGATTTTCACGCTGATGTGTATGGGTGGGATAACTCCAAGTCCCGGGAGGTTTTGGGGCTGGAGTATCGGGATTTGAAGACTTGTGTGAGGGATACGGTGCAGTCGCTTATGCGGTTGCTAGAATGATTTTCGGGGAAAATCGTACTCATTATTGCTATACTGTTTTCTAAGATATATCATCCGATAAACTCAGTGCACGCACTCCACTCGGCATCCTCTCGTAAGCCTTCCAGATCTTTCTCACTCAAACACACCACCACGGGAAAATCCCCCTCGGGAGTCCTACTGGCGTATGCAAAGAGTATCGATCGGATTTTCTACTTCGCGGCGGGGATTTGTGGGGTTTCCTTTGTCTTCTCGTGGTTCATGGGTTGCGTAGATATGAGGAAGAAGCCGCAGACGGAGGATGGGGCGAAGGGGACGGAGGGGGTGTAGAGCACTACGATCTTGTGGTCGATGTGACAGCCATTATGGATGAATTCTTGTTTATTGTATCTACCGAATGAGTGAAGAAGCTGATCAGAGAGTAACAGCCTCCTCGCTAGCAGATACTTTCTTCATATTCATGTCCATGGCCTCCTGAACACACTCCAAACGCTTGCCACCATCAGCGGCTCTGGCACAGTCACATACGTCCCCTTGGCCAGAGCAGCCGGCAGATAAGCTGCCTGGTTGGGCATAGCTGGGAGTTTGAGGTGAGATTTTGCACGGGGGGGGATCAGAAACAGTCAATGAACACAGTCAAGCTTGGCTGTCATCCGGAGTCTGAGGTCGATGTGACATGAGCCTGCATCGAGTCAGGGATAATTATCCCTTGTTTGTCTTTCTTTTGTCAATTGCCTAGTCAACCGGACACTCTTCGGAGTTTGGAGTTTGGAGTTTGAGTAACTCCGAGAAGGATTCATCGATACTTCAAACTCCGAGATTAGTCTACTCGGCTGGATGATTTTCTTAATTGGGTCGCGGAGGCACATCAGCAAGTCATCGTCCTTCCTTCAACCATGCCCTGGTCATCGATTTATCCAGTTGAAAGAAAACGCAGGAGAGGCTTACCGCGTCCCCTTTGAATGGTTCCCATGAAGTTGTCACTGCACCAGCGCAGCTATTATCTATATCTATAGCCTTGAGCCAGGGAAATTATCTATCACACCAGCAGCAGAATGGCCTCCCTCAGAGCAATCCTGGCCTCTAACCAACAGCTTGACTCAGCCCTCCCTGCTGGCCTGGTGGCCATCTTTATTGGTGCAACAAGCGGCATTGGTGAGACAGCAATAAAGCAATTTGCTAAACATACTAATGCACCACGCATCTACTTCATTGGCCGCACAGCCAGCTGGGCGGAACGCATTAAAACAGAACTCAAGACCATCAACCCGAAGGGCAGCTACTTCTTTCTGCAATGTGACGCCAGTCTGCTCAAGAGCGTTGACGAGGTTTGCCAGGAGATTAGGGCCAAAGAGACAGCAATTAGTCTGCTCTTTTTAAGTATTGGCAGTCTTATCACTGGGACAAGTGAGTGCCCCCCACCCATAATCAAAGTGATTACAGATCAGTCCCTTACTTAGTGGCTATAAATATAGGGACTGTGGAAAATCTACATTACTTTGCTGCACTGACGTACTACTCCCGCATCCGCTTTGCTGTGAACCTCCTCCCACTCATCCGTACCGCCCCTGCGCTGCGCAGGGTCATAACTGTGTTCGCCGGCGGCAAGGAGGGCCCTATCATTGCTGACGACTTCCCTGGGTTTAAGCTATCTGCCACTGCAGGACGCGGGCATTTTGCGTCCATGCTGACGCTCTCCTTTGAGGTACTAGCCCAGAGAGCACCAGAGGTCTCTTTCATACATGACTATCCTGGATTTGTTAAAACAGACCTCGCGCGAGGCACCAAGGGCGTTGGGATGGTGATCACCAAGGGTTTATTCAAGGTCATTGGTCCATTTTTGTATATCCCCACTGAGGAGGTTGGTGAGCGGCAAACCTTCTTTGCTACTAGTATAAGATTCCCACCCGCCTCTGGTGATGCCAAGGGCGTGCCCTCTGAAGGAGTCGGTATTGCCATGGGGACTGATGGAAGGAAGGGTAGTGGTGTGTACTCAGTGCATCTAGATGGGGAGACCAAAGTGCAAGAGGTGTTGTCTAAGTTGAGGGAGAGCGGGTTGAAGGATAAGATGTGGAAACATGTCGAGGAGTTTATTCGCGTAACAGGGAGTGTATCAATATAGGACATACCTGTCCTGCTCATTACTATAGTTTTGCATTGCGCAAGTATTGCTGTTGACAGGCTTAATGACTTTTTGCCTTAATTTGGATCTGCATAAACCCATTCATTCTAGAGACAGGATTATCAATAAAGACTACACCAGGGCATAAAGCGGACTTGATGTCAGGCCCTTATTTAAGATTGTCCAATTGACGATTCCTCCCTCTGAGCAATCAGACTCGGTCTGTCAGCTCTGTCAGCTTCCGCTCAGCAAGAGCGGACTTATATACCTCTTCCAAAACAGCACTATCTTAACCCATCGTATTACTCCAACCAACTTATCTCATCATTCTACACCTTCAACACCCAAAGACATGACACCAGCACCCGATCCAACTCTCCATCACCCACGGATCCTCTGCCTTCATGGCGGCGGCACAAACGCCCGCATCTTCCGCGCCCAATGCCGCGGCCACTCCTCCCACCTCTGCCGATACTTCCGCCTTGTCTTCGCCGAAGCACCTTTCCCCTCCACCGCCGGACCGGACGTCCTCCCCGTCTACGAAGCTTACGGGCCCTTCAAGAGTTGGCTGCGCGGGAAGCACCCCGATCAACCCGAGCCAGATCCCACTTCGACATGGGAGGCAGTGGACGTTGCCCTCGCCCAAGCCGTTTTTGATGACGATGCGAAAGGCGCCACGGGACCTTGGGTCGCTGTGTTCAGTCAGGGGGCCAAGATGGCTGCTTCTGTGCTGCTGAGAGCCCAGGAGGCGCCGAGTACGCTGCGAAGAATTTGGAAGGAGGGAGACGTTAAGTTAAGGTTTGGGGTCGTGATGGTGGGGAGGCCACCATTGATGCCGATAGATGAGAGGGGGGTCCGCGATGGTGATGACGAGGCGGGCAATGCGGGCATGCTGCTCTACCTGCCTACTGTTCATGTACTTGGTCTGCGCGATGGGGGTCTTTCGTCGCATCGGAAGTTGCTGGAGTGGTGTGAGCGTGGGAGTGCGACTGTGGTCGAGTGGGACGGGGAGCACAGGGTGCCGATTAGGACTGGGGATTTGCAGCTTGTGGTTGATGCTATTCTCGCTGTTGCTGCGGAGACAAAAGGTTTTGGATTTCTCAGAGTGACGTGAGAGATAGAGGTTAGGCCGGTAGTATCAAACTATCCTTATGACTTGGACTTTTATTCCAATCAGATGATATGGATGCAATTGAAGCACGTTCATCATCTGCTCAAGGGAAAAATTGTAGACATTCATGCTTTCATATGTGCTTTTTATACCTACTGCCGAGGCCAAGGTGGGCAATTCTCTTCCAAAGGCATCTGCACCTAGAGCCCAAGCCGGCCAGTGCTATCCATGATTGCTTTTCTCATTGTGAGGACAAAATATGCCAGCATCCAACTTCAGATTTGAAGGAGATAGGGTCGATTACTTTTTCTTCCATTCCGGTGCAAGGTGCTAATTCAATTGAGTCCAAATTCTCGTCGACCTATCGATGTAAGGAGATTAAAGTAGAGCGGGCTTTTCCCCTTTTTATCCAAGCGTGTTGGCCATCTCTTGCCAAATAGATTTGGTCTGTTATGGTAGAGAGATTGCTACTTCCTTCAAGCCAAATCTGAGCCCAGCTGGCCAGGCCTGGCACTCCTGGGGGCCCAGTCACGACTTTGGGTTACATATCCCCACCTTTTCAACCTTTAATCGGTTCTGATGGCGTGTACGTGTGAGGTTCATTGTTGAAAATGCACGTTCTGAGGGCACTGAACTTGCTGAGGTCTCAAATAACTGCATTGCAAGTCAGCGAGGCAAACTGCCAAAATGTATATGGATCCATCCACAACCTCTTTTTCCAGAGCTCACTGTTGGAGCTGTGTAGATGAGCAGTAGCCAAGCATTTTCCTATATATAGGGTTTAGCCTAGTTTCCTAATACAGTAAAGCTTTATTTACCAGTAATTTGTGATATTTTCTAATTTACCTTACCGTTCGCAAGAGCCTACTCCAAATCCTCCTGTCGTCGCACAATGAGGGGGAGATTGAATCTCGAGGATCCTGGCTGGCATATGGCTATATCTAGTCTATACCTATGCCAAGATCTAACAGACTAAGTATCACATCCACGTCTGCGCCAGAACGTCTTCTCGATTCCAGAAACCACCCCGTTCTGCGAGATTCTCGTCATACACCGTCGCTGCTCTATCCGCCTTACCGCTCCGTGGGATACTCGCCATCCCATCACGAGGTCCGCCCAGCACCCGGAGAGCCACAGTATCCAAGTTTCCACACCTGCCGTAAGCCGGATCCCACGGCGCAAAAGTCAGGTTCCTGGCAGCGAGCTGCTGTCCAGACAGACCTGGCACAGTGGGTTGGCCGAAACTCGCAAACGCAGCCCAGCTCCCGCTCATCCGACTGGCCATATTATAGTCGGTCTGGTCTGCGACCGTCGAGTACGGCGGCACGTCCACGTAGTCAAAGACATACGGTATGTCACTGAAGTGATCCTGGCCGACGTAGCTCTTGTTGTACTCTGCGTGTCCAACCCGGAAGACGGTCTGGTTGAGCGAGTATAGGTAGGTTTTTCGCGCGGGGGCGTGCTGCTTCCATGCCTCCACGACACGCAGGGACGGGCAAGCAAAGTGCGCATCGCGGACAACCTGCGCGGCGTGGAAGAAGTTGCGGTCGATATGCTCGCTAGGCTTGTCGGAGAAGTCGGACACCGGGTAGAGCGCTAGGAGCTGCTGGTTGTTGGAGGGAGAGAGACCTGGGAACAGGTACTGAATGAATGCTTCGAAGGCGGAGGTTCCACTCAGGGTGGGCAGGACGAACTGCGTGCCGTCGTCTTCGTTCCAGCCGACTAGGATGTCGACGTGGCGATGAAACCGGCCGGCCTGCAGGAGTTTCGACGGCGCGTCTGGAATGAAGGAGGACGGGGCTGTGGGCCGCCAGGTCCCTATCCCGGCCAGGGGTGAGAAGGCTAGGGAGAAATCAACCGCGGCGCCGACGAGGGTACCCAGCGGAACTGAGCGGAGGCATTTCAGTTCCGCGGTTGAGTCGTCCAGGGCAGACGTGCAGTTCAGCATCTGTGCGAGGGCGGTGGTATGGTTGTCGGATAGGCCGGCCGTGAGCGCGTCTCCGGATAATGTGGGACCAGACTGCAGGATTGCCCGGTGGAAGAGCGGTGCTTTCACGCCACCGTACGCTGTGAGCTGGAGTTGCACATTGGTCCATCCGACGTTCTCTCCGAAGATGGTCACATTATCTGGGTCTCCGCCGAAAGCTGCAATATGATCGTGCACCCATTGCAGGCCCAGACGCTGATCGAGGAGTCCTACATTCAGGTTGTCTTCATCTCGGAGCGCTTTTGAAGCTGCAAATCCGAAAATCCCGACCCGGTAGCTGTCGAAGTCAGAGAAAACAAGATCAAAAGGGGAACCAACATCAAACATCACCGAATAGCTGCTTACTTAATTGCGGCGTAGATGACAGGCAGTCCCTTTTTGGCATTTTCCCTCACCAGACCGGCGGGATTGTAAGCCGTGTCATCGTAGATTTGGCCCACTGCATACCCGCCTCCATATAGATAAACCATCACCGGCAGTCTGGCCCCGGGGTGTGTGTTTCGTGGACGGTCCACTCGGACGGTCAGGCAGTCCTCGGAGATCTGGGTCGTATTCCCAAATAGCCCCGTGAGGCTAGGGACCGGGTTTCCCAGCTGTTGCGGACAAGCTGCTCCCGGCTGGGTTGCGTTCACGATAGCACCGGTTGGATACGAATATGGAACCGGACGTTTGAAGCGGTTTTCGTTCCCTGTGTCCTGGCCATATCTGATATTGAGGAAGGACTCGGTGTCATCGGTGATTCTTCCGATGTAGGAGACGCCGTTGTGCTGGACAAGTGGGGTAGCTACGGCTGAGGATAGCCAGAGACAGAACCAAGATGCCAGGAAGGGGAGCTTCATGGTGTACCTTTAAAGATCTGACGGTGTTGACGGGCCGTATACATTACCTCGCACGTAGCCCCGATGTATCTGTACCTGGGAGGACAGAGTCGGTTTCCATGTTTAAATATGCAATTCATCATAGATTCATGAATATTCCATAGAGGATTTGGGACATACGCCTCCCAACCTCATAGCTCAAGAACACCGTCGGAGTTTCCGTGATGATTCTTGATCGGAGTTCAAAGCAACACCTCTCAGAGTTCGACTACCGTCTTGCATTCCCTGCCATTTGATCTTGAATAGTGTTTCACAAGGTCTCCTGAGTCTCTAGAAATCTCTCCTCCTTAAACTCCAGTGGCAGCCTCTTGAAGGTAGTTACCAAGAGACATAAAGAGCTCGACATTGATTAGGCCCTCATTTTATTTGTGTTTTGTCCGGTTATTTTTGGTTTAGATGTGACCACCCAACTACTAACTGGCTGGTGTGTGGCTTAAGTACGGCTGGGAGCGCACGGGAAGCCCTGTTTTTCACACCCTATGGTCGTATGTACTAGGACTTGAGAAGGGATGATATATGTATGCTGTATCTCGCCCACTGCGTAAATTGGATACATACTCTGACCGCATCTGAGCCCCAAGGTCACTGGAGAGATGACATCTGTCATTAATGTAGGGGCCATAAGCTATTCGAGACAGCAAAGAGGTGAGTGGAGAATACCTAGCTACGATCTCGGCTCCCCTAGCTTGACTGAGCGTCAGGGAGGGCGAGTTCTGGGGATGGCGGCTACCTACTTACGTAGAACGCCCACGTACACGTTCATTCATTAGGCCACGTCTACCTGCTATACAATGGAGTACCGAACTTCGCGCCTGATATTTTCAGAGATGCTCTGAAGATCCATGTGTCCCACCCGCGAGAATATGACAAAATAGGCAATCCATGCAGCGTAATTAGGAGGCGGTACTACCTCCCTTCTTCGCCATAAGCACGCACTATGCAGTCTAGACATCAGCATTTAAAAAGCTAGGGTTGTCAGTTTCTATTATTCTTAAAGTAGCTAAGGTGGGTGGTATGGTCTGCTCCGATAGATCGGAGTATAGTAGCAATTGGATCCTGTACCCTTGGCTAGGAAGGCCTAATTTTCTACTGTGGTGAGTCGGATAGCTGGACATCTATGATTTAGGATATGGAATTGGGCTGCACTCTTTGCACGCTGGATCGTTCGGTGGATTGGGAAAGGACGCTTGAGTGTCTCGTGGAACCCCAAAGCTGATCTATATATATATGTGTGACACCATAACTCAAGCTTGCTAGGAGAGCTCATCAACACCCCTTATCATAGAGGTTTCCCATTGCCAGGTTCGGTCCGGTCCTATTATTGAATCCCAGCCGGATGAGTGTCTTCTCACCCACATCATATTGTGGCCATTCATCGTATCGCTCTAGTCCAGAGACAGGATCTCGAGCGAATGCAGCCCACGCACCACGCATGTACCGTCCGATGGCCACTTCCTCGGCCGTATTGGCAATGAGGTCTTGTGCAACCGTGTCGAAGAGCAACGGCACCTCGGAGGAGTGGTATGCTCCGCTAGGCGCCTTCGTGGAGAGCATCATATTCGGGAATACGCCAAAATAGCGGTATCTCCAAGTCGGATTGCCCTGCTGAACGGAGATATTGGCTCGTGCAGCTGCCGGGCAGTCGAACAGAGCCTGATTCTGCTGGATCCAGGCATCGTCAGGTAACGGCTCGTCCACGTAGACGCGGAACAGGCCGTTTTCAAAGTCGGTGGTCCCAATGAGCATGGGGACGGCAGCCGCTGGGCGATCTGTGTAGTTGCTGAAGACGAGGACGTCGTCGGCGGCCGGACTGTAGGGCAGGTTGATGGTCGTGGCCATGGTGTTGACGAGGTGACGAGCTATGTCGTCAGCAGGCTTGGTCATCATGCAGTCGTAGACTTGTTGATCATGTGTGCTCTGGTTACCGCAGCCGAGAGCGTCCGAAGCGTTGAGCCAGAACATACGGGCCTGCTCAGCGGTGCGGCCTCCGATGCGAGCTACATTACCGGATTGCACAATCAGGGCATGGACGATGGGGTCGTCCTTCCAGGCGTACGAATAGTGGTCAACAGAGGTACCGCCAGCGGACTCTCCGAAGAGCGTAATTCGAGACGGGTCACCGCCAAAGGCTGCAATATTGTCCCTCACCCACTCGACTGCTAAGCGTTGATCCAAGAGACCTAGGTTGAAGCTGTTTGGTGAATTTCCGGGGAAACCGAAGAAGCTGAGGCGATAGCTATAACGGACAATTAGAATATGGCTGCAAAATAAGCGTGGGATGGATGTTTGACTTGATGCTAACGAGGACAATGTCCTCTTGGTCGGCAAAGAACTGGCCATTGTACATTGGAATTGCGGAGCTTCCTAACCAGGGTGAGTAATTGACTCTGTCGTTGTCTTAGGGCGATACACATACCGGAGACGAAGGACCCTCCATGTACCCAGATCATCACGGCCTTCTTCTTCTCGCCGGTCTGCGGCTTCGTCCAGACATTCAGGGTAAGACAATCTTCACTGAAAGTCAGATTGGGATGTCCGATCTCTGCCAAGAACTTTTGGCCGACCCTGGTTACGCCGTATTGCTCAATGAGCTTGTCTGGCAGTCGGTCGTCGTACGCTGTCAGATTCGAAGAAATGCATGCGGGACCCTGTCGTTGTCAGCGCTGTGGTTTCTGTCCTTGGGTGGTGACGAGGCGGCCCCTACAAAAGTCTCGCCACTAATCGTGGTGTTCCCCCGATACCTGACAGGAGGCTGGAATCGCAGGTTGCCTACTGGCGGTAAGGCGTACGGAATGGCGAGATACTCCGACACATTGCTGGCATGAGGGGCGGCATGTCCTCGGACGGGCCCGTTGGAGGTCTGAACTGTTTGTCCGATGGTCCACCGTGCTTGTGGACTGACAGCAGCGCAAGGCACAGAAAAAATTAGTCCAGCCACGATGCCGAAGACGACCGGAAGAGAAGACTTGTACATGCTGAACTATGCTGTGATCTTTTGGGAAATGCGTGCTGTGGAACATCTCACAAGCGTACCTTCAACGCTCAAATGCGCTTTATATCCCTGCCAGTCAGGCAGTGCTACAGTTCGATTAGCATGATATCCAAATCGCGGCCAATATACACCGATCTAGCCGGAAGATCGTCTTCACGATCGTATTCGCAACCATGCCGCGATGAACGAACACGAAAAGCCAGGCACCGCCATTTGCTGATTGGCTACTGATGGAATCTGGCCAAGTATTTGAGAATATCGAGACGGAACCGGTAGCAATCTCGTCCTTCCTCAACACTCTTCCAAGTTCTAGATAATGGATAGACACAAGAGCAATGCTTAGCTTGCAGGCTCAAACTGGTGCTGATTGTTATGAAAGTGCATTGAAGCCCCGCCAGTGTTGACATTCTTGGCCTGCATAGACATGATGGATTTTGTCATGTTGTATCAGGAGAAAGTTCCGGCCCGTCATGGTTATCCAAACATACGCCGGTGGTATATATTGATCACTTCTCCGGCCTTCGATGATGAAGACAGCTCTCCTCTGTGCCCTTGCGCAGTCGAGCAATCATGAGAACGCAACAGACTCAGACACATCGAGAAGCACCCATCGTGTTCAGCAAGATCACGGAGCTGATTGGTCGTTTGTTGTTTCCAGCATCGGCGTCCGAAATAAGTCTAGTGCTGGCATACAGACTGACTCTTATAGTCTTGTTGCGTTTGTCCTCTCTGGTATATTCTTATGATCGTGTCTGTCCGTAGGCTCAAGAGACCGAAAATCGCAGGATGGAAACCGAGATATGCATCCTGCATTTCAACGATGTCGTACGTCTGCATACAGTCTCCATTTATAGAATCTTGCTAAAGGAGTAGTACCATGTCAACAATGTCGAGCTCATATCTCGTTTCGCCGGCTTGATCAGGTCGTTTGAACCCAAGCCACTGGTAATCTTCAGCGGCGATGGCTTCTCGCCTTCCTTGGAGGCGTCCCTCCTAAAAGGAGAGCACATGGTTCCGTTCTTGAACCATCTCAACGTCGATGTAGCCTGTTACGGGAACCATGGTCTGGACTGTCCATGACGTGAATGTTCACAAGCAGGCTGACATGTCCAGACTTCGATTTTGGGGAAACGAGACTCGTAGAACTGTCACGCAAAATGCACTTTCCCTGGGTTCTATCCAACGTAACTAGAGTGACTGAGGACGGCGATGTCTCAAGCGAGCCTCTTGCCTGTGGTGAGCGGTATATCATCAGGACAGTGCAGGGGTACAAGGTCGGATTTATTGGCTTGGCTGGGACGTAAGCAAGGAGCTCTGCACAGTGTTTCTCTGCTTGGATTACTGATTAAGATACCTGCTCAGAGATTGGCCGTCAAACTGCCAGGACTTACCCCCGTTGTACATCAAGGATCCCGCCATGGTCGCTCAAGAGCTTGCGAAATACCTGCGTCTTAATGAGGGTTGTGACTTTGTGATCGCTATCTCTCACTCGCGACTCGCGGAGGATATCAGAATAGCAAATAATGCTGCACACGGGATTGCCAAAGTTGATCTGATTCTCGGGGGTCACGATCATGAGGTCCTGCATCGCTTCCATGGGGACACGGAAGAGAGCTCTGAGATAATCCAACAGGGCACGAGAAACGAGGACATTGTGTCCAATGGCGTAGTCGACCAAGTAGCCGGAGACATTCGCATCGTCAAAAGCGGGACAAACTGGCGAGGCTTATCCATTGTCCGCTTAATCGCAAGGAGACTTCCAGATGGAAGAGCCGCAATAGAGACCGTCAAACGTAAGTACCACAGCCGGCAACCCCGCCAATCTAACAAGCTCCAGTCAAGCAGTACGTCGACATCGCACAGAGCTCAGAATGCAGCTCACTCTCAGTCTGCCCCCGTATACGCAAAATGGCAGCTGAGATCCAGCAGCGCGTCGGCAGTGAGGTTCAGAAGCCACTCGTTCACACGATGTCACCGCTTGACGGCCGCTGCAGTGTGATTCGCAGCTCAGAGACGAATCTAGGCAACATGCTCGCAGACGCCTATCGTGCCTACTACGGCGCTGACATTGCGCTCGTCAACAGCGGCTCAATCAGATGTGATCGGAGCATCGAGCCATTATCATCACCGCTCCGTGTCAAGGATATCATCGGTTAGTCCCGACACTGTCATCAACCGCTAACTCTCTCATGAAGTAATCTAACCTTCTAGAAATCTGCCCCTTCGAGAACCCGGTGGTTGTCAAACGAGTCAGCGGACACGCCCTCCACGAGGCCCTTGAAAACTCCGTCTCGGACCTCCACGTTGACGGACGATTCATGCAATGCTCTGGGCTACACGTCGTCGCGGACTGGCAGCAACAAGAGGGCCACAGGATCCTACAACTGTCTCTCGTGCAATCATCCTTCGCACCACCGAAGCAGATCATCCCGTCGCAGATATACACCGTTGTCATGTCGTCATTTATCGCGGCGGGTTTTGACGGATATACCTGCTTTCAGAGCCTAGAGACACTTGTCGACAAGGAGACGGCTGTGACGGATACTGGACTACTCTTGCAGATCTTTGGGTACGATAAGGAAGGCTTAAACGATGGCAATACCACTGGCATAGATAGAGCTCGGAGGGCTATCGTTTGTGGGAGGCATGGGCTGGACAGTTTGCCCATTGTGAGCCCAACTGTTGAGGCGAGGATTCGGTTCGTGACTTAGCTCAGAGATAGCATTCGACTTTAGTTTATCATTCACGTTTAGAAACAGAAAGGTAGTCTCAAGACGGACATTTATTGTTGTTTCCATGTTGGTCAGACCTTCAATGTCTTTTGATGACTCACTACCATCAACATATTCCCTTTCCGACTAGGCACACAGGCTCAAGGTATGCTTACAGAGCTATAAAATCCAACAATATCTGCCACTACTTCTGTCTCAATTATCTAAGACGTTTTCTATGACTCTGCAAAAGCTCCCACTTAGAAAAAGACTGAGAATTGGAGACGAATAAAATATGTGCCATAATCATTTGATGTTCTATCTACATCGCTGTTTGGCCTGTTTCGGTTACTTTTCCACATATATTTGACCGCTTCTCGCCATAACTCCAGCAGCCGAAGGATAACAGCAATCTTTATGATACATGAACAGACGTCTGGAGTAAGAAATTGAAGTAAAGCATGCTTATTGGCACTGGACTAGACGCTCTGCGGAAGCTGCTGAACTGCAGTAAGTTGCCAGAGTACTCCTGCATGGGGTATAATCACTTGAGAAACTAGATTTGCAAGCCCAATCTACTGCTGCTTCTTGGTTTCATGGCCCTTGGCCTTTGTGATGAGGCTCAAACCAACCTCGGCAGACTCCTTCCAACCTCTCTGTCTCATCCAGAAGCGCTCGGTTGGATCAGTCCCCTGCTTGGACCAGTTTCTAGCGTCCTGTTCCAAGGATTCGCGAGTGATCGCGGAAGGTGGGACGGAAGATACGACATCCTTGACCTCATCGGCATCGTCGTCGCTCTCTGCACTGAGCACAGTGTCGAGGTATCTCTTCCGCATCATGAAGCGCTCTGCCCGTTCGCGACGTGTGTTCGGAGGCTCCAGCTTAGCCAGGGCACTTCGCACGGCGTAGCGCACGATCAGGTAGAGATGCTCGGAGAAGAAGATCGTCAGTAACAACGCCCAGCACCGGATTGTTGTCGGCTCGCCGTTAGGGCCCTCATGCCCGTTACTGAACATATAGACAAGGGCTGCGCTGGTAATACTTCCCACCCAGGACAGGAATCCTAGGCTGTCCAGCCATGGTCCAATGGTATCCGCACGCTGAGGCCAGGGTCTCTTGCACTCGACGCAGATCTTGAAGAAATCAGACCGCAGCTCGACCCAATTGTTGATCAAGAAGGAGACGGGAACAAGTGGCCACACGGGTGAGAACAGAGCCAGATATCCGAACTGGATACACATTTCCCGCAGATCATCGGTGACATCATAGTCCTCCAACTCAGCTTCATTACGAACACGAGTGAGGAATTTGGCCTCGTCTTCGTCGTCGCCGAGGGAGACGGTCTTCTTCTCTCCCGCACCATTTCCTGGCTCTGCTTTTGCATGTTGTTTCTTGGTATATTCCTTATATTCGCGGAATACCCGTTGCCTGATAAACGGAACGATGGTTTCAAGCGCAAAACCGACAATCTGGGCAGTAACGGTAAAGTAGATGACCTGCTTTCGCAGCCGATCCGGATTAATGGTGAATTCGGTTCGTGCCTTGGTTGCATGCTCTTTGGACACGAATGGCCGAACAGTAAGATGGAATACATCGAGATAAGGCACGATACGGCTGGCGAATGGTACATAGACGAAAGCTGTCAAGATGATAGGGAGGTATGAGGTGATAAAGTTGACAACAAAGATTTTTTGTGTCAATGCCACCTTGTAGGCATCCTGAGTCTCGTAGTTCTCATAATCATTCAATTTGGTCGCAACAGTCAGCAATACCGCACTCATTGTCGGTATAAGCGCCGATACCAAGATGGTAGGGATGAACACCTGGATCATTAGCTATGAGACCTGCAAAATGCTTGGAGCGACACTTACCAGATACCCCTTGAGTGGACCGTTGTAGACCTCGGAAATGAAAATCTCAATCGCAAAGCAGGTGGCAATGATGGCACCTAGGGCGACGGCTGCAAGCAATGCGAATGGCACTTGGAGGAGCTGTCGATACATCCGCTTTGTAGCGGGAAAAACTCCTCGAACCTCGCCGGTGCTTTCATCACGAACTTCCTTCTCGGGTCTGAACTCTGCTCTCTTTTCGTGAACCGCAGAAACGCCCTTGGTCTGCCACCGACAACTGAGGTCCTCCTCCTGACGCTTCCAATATTCAATAAAGACGATGCACCAGAGACAATTGACCACGGTGTAGATGATGGAGAACGAGCCCAATAACAGCCAACATGAGAAGCCGAATGCCGCGGGGAACATCAAGAACCGAAAATACGACTGCAAGAAGGCAAAGTAAAAGCCAACCTGTAGCCCCTGTTAGTTTACGGCATCCTATAAATCAGCGACAAGCTCACATGTTCTCCAAAGGTATTGCGAATCCGATCCAAATCCTCCGTTGACAGAAACGTCTTTTTGCTCCACTCCCTCATGCACTGCCTGTTGGTCTCCTCGTCGTGCAGCGGAAAGATCGCATCGACATTCTTCCACTCTCCATGTCGGGGGGTGATGCCCGCACCGCCCTCTGCCTTTGGAACCGTAATCAAATGGTAGATAACACGGAGTCGCTCAGCTTCTGACTGCGGCTCCGCAGAGCTCGCCGGCTCGGGTTCGGTATTCCGGACGCCGTACAGCCAGTCTCGAACACTTGAAACCACAAGCAGTTAGCATACAACATACACCTCTAGAAAGCATAATGCTACGTACCGAGACTGGTAAACCGCTCGTTTCAGCTTCTTCTTGCTAGCGGCCCGCACAAAAACAAACAGGGAGTTCTCGTCCCCCTGTCGGACTTCCGTCTGTAATCCTACCTCGGAGAGCTCAAGAAGAAGAACCTCAAATCTCTTGATTGCTTGAGGGGTATCTAAAAACAATCAGATCGCGGCCCAGTTGCTACCTCCGGGCGACCTACCGATATCCCCATAATTGAAGCGGATGACGTAGTCGACATGGTGGTTCTCCTGAACGGCCTTGGGAGCCGGATTGAAAGCCATAGTATAGTGCCTTGAACAATGTTACGATAGCATGAGGGATGGTGAGGGAAGACTATAGACTGTACGAATATTTTGGCTTGACGCGAAAGGGGAGCGAGCCTGGAGTTGTCGTCACCGCATAATGCGCTCTGACCAGGTTGACTGGCGATGACGACATCCCCGAGCTTGCTGGCCTAGGGTTAGCCCTAAGTAACTGAAAGGGACATAGCGTCAACAAAGTATTCAATCTATCGATATCAGAACAGGGGAGAGACGTGAATACTAGATACCTTCACAGAGTTTTATTGACTTCCAAGCTAACCGATGATGGAAGCGGAAGAAGGAAGGCACAAACGTTGAATGATATACCACTGGCTCAAACACAAGAATCCAAGGGTATCACGCTCGACTATCGAAGGTACAATCTACCTATTTACGAAACACACCAGCTTTGACGGCATAGCACCTGCTATCAAAGCTTCGCAGTCGAATGAAAACATACCACGAGCTCATTTCACCCCTACAGTCCCTCCGCCAACTTATTCAGGGCCGGCCCCTCAACCATCATCTTCATCCATTCCTCCATAGCCTGGGCCCCAACCTGCTTGTAAAACTTGATGCTTGGCTCATTCCACTTGAGGACACTCCACTCTAGACGTCGACCCTTCACCTCCAGTACCTTTGCAGCCAAGTACTTCAAAAGCTTGAACCCATACCCGTTGCCTCGGGCGCTGGGCTGCACGTAAAGATCCTCAAGGTAGATGCCCGGAGCCGAACGCCACGTCGAGTAGTTGTAGAAGAACAGGGCCATGCCAACGGGTATGGGAGATGGGTTCTCTGCTGTGGCGGGAGGGATAACGAGGGCTGTGTAGACGGAGCCTCGCTTGGGGGTGTCATTGGGGAAGGAGAGTGTGGCTAGGAGGGATTCTTCGGTGGCTTCGACCTCATGGAGGGCCTTTTCGTAGTCAGCTAGCTCCCGGATGAATTGGAGGATGTAAGGGACATCTGCAATCCCGAATGGAGTCAGTAAGGGCCGTGAGACCTTCTCGCAGCGATGGCCGACCTGTGCGGAGAAACACTAAAGGGAATGCGGGGTGAACTTGCCCTCGGGAGTTGCCAGTCTGATGGTAGCTTCTCCGGACATTGTGAGATCAAGGGTCCGTAAATGAAGGTATCGAGTATGGTCAACTACTTTGTACAGCTTTGCAATTGAGGCAGAGTCAACAGTGAAGACGTTAGGAAGTCGGTAAGTTGATATTCCTATTTATGTGGCCGAAGAATAAAATCTCGGCCCCGAACCCCACCTTCGCTTCTGGAACTATATCGACCGCACGGCACGCCCTGCCGATGACATCTATGGAATGTACACATCTGGAATAAGAAAGACAAGACTATTTACTCTTTGAATGTCAAATGATAAACACGCTCAAAAGAATAAGAGATAGCCGACTCGGGCTCATGCTAATCATCGGGATGTAATGGCAGCCATCCACTTTTGCTCGTCCGTTCTGTCGTGGATGTCAGCAGCAACTCGGGCAGGTAAAGAAATAGGTTACTGACCGATCGAAATGAAGCAGCATGCCCAAGACTGGGATCAGCTGCTTCTGGTAGTTCTTATCCTTCTGTTCCAAGAATTGCAGGAGCACATTCTTCAAGTAGATGTAGTCAATCGGTGCTCCCGTTGACGTTTCGCTTCTCCGCGTCGATGGGCTACGGTCCTTCGACACGGGAGATGCAACTGCCTTTCTCGTTCCTGAGTCAATCGATGAACGCGAGGACTGAGGGTTCTGGACTGCACGAGTTTCGTCCGACAAAATCCGGTTGGATTTGCGAAGCTTCTCCAGCCGGTTATTCGTTTCTTCCACTGAACGACGCAGCTCGGCCTTTTCTTTCTCCAGATCACGGACTTGCTTCTCGCTTTCATCTAAAGCGTCACGTAACCGTGCCATGGCCTGGCGGATGTCGTTTAGCTCCTGCGCTGAGCGCTCCGACTGTTCCTCGAGTTGATCTCGTCTGCGCTTCCAGTCCTTTT